AGCTTCTCAGAAAATGTTATTTTTAATTAAGCCAAATAAAACGAGATATTAAATACGTATGTAACATCTGAGTGAAGAAGAATGCTGTTTTGTGACACTCCAAACCCCTATTGCTACAGAAGCTAAAGGTTTATCATTAGAGAGTTAAGAAAGTTAAGTGGAAGGAAAATCTGCTGGGGGAAAAAAGAACATGATTGCTAGAGACTTGAGTGAAGTTTCCACCAAGGTTTCCTTTCGTACAAAGTCAGCAAAGCCATCTACCAGGAAATGTTTAGATCCCTTTGTGCTTCCCTCTGCTGAGAGACCTTACTGAGATGTTTAAATAATATAAATTAGAGCAGTATATTACATTATCATTACATTATTCTAACCCGAACCCCACAGAGAATAATTTAAGCATTGTCAAAAAAGATGTCCAATCTTAACTACAAGTTAAATTTATTCCGTCAAACATCTACTAAAGTTATAATATTGAAGTACTAACTTTTGAAAAATACCTAAGTAATCAAAAGAACATGCATTTAAAAGTTTTCAAAAATCCAAATTATATTCATAATATCAATTCCTTTCTGTATATTTTTCAGAACTTAGTTACTTTCTTATGTATTGATGCGTAGAACCTCCAAAAACTACAGTATAAAAATGCCTCAGAAAAATAAAGCTATTTTGTTTATTATTTTTCATTTGAACAATCATTATGATTCTCCTCACACTTTCACTGTAGAATAGAGGTTAAAGGTTGGATCTATTACCACATAAAAACTGCATTATGATTTGAGAACTCATTCTACTGAACAACTTGGCCACATGGTTTCAACTAACGCCTTATTAGAATTATAAACTACAAATAAAATCTGCCTTGAGTTTCTCACATCTGTGGAATGTCATGCAAATATCTAAAACAGTCCTCAGGGCTGCTATCTCCCATGTTGAAATTGTACTTCAAAAAAGAAAAACAGCAACAGTGGATTACAAAACTAAGCTGAGCCAAAAGGAACAAGTAACTAGCAGCTTCCTGGAAACGCATTGGAGTAGAAATTTTAATATTAGACTTCGGGTAAAATAATAACGTCTCATATCAGTCAGAAAAAAGTTAACCCTAATCCTCAGAAATCAGATTTTGCATGTACAGCCCATGGATTCTATAATGGTGAGCTGGTCAGATCCCACTGAAGCAAAACATCTCCATCCATGGCTCCTCCATCTCCTGTCTGTCTCCATAGATCACTGAAACTACTCTGCATTAAACATTAAATTAGATTAGATTCGATTAGATTCAACTTTATTGTCATGACATTGGGAAAAGGTAAAAGGCAACGAAATGCAGTTTAGGTCTAACCAGAAGTGCAATAGCACTTCTGGTTAGAGGGGGGTTCCATTACATTTCAAAATGTTAATGCTAGGCTTTCCTCACTTTTCTTTTTCAGCAAAAGGACATTTGTTGTGACAACTACTTTTTAGTCTGAAAATCTATTTGTAATGTTTGTAGTTTTTGTATACATTTGTTTGAAACTTATCAGGCAATTATATATCTTTTTACCATTTTTTTTATGTCTTTTTGTCCTTTCTCTGTCCTGCTTGGTTATTTTTACCATTATCTGTCTTGAAAGGGATTTATGTATGTTCCTGTGGTTTTCTATGTGTTTAATTNGATCCCCGCCACGGCAAGTACATGGCCTGCTGCATGCTGTACAGAGGGGATGTGGTGCCGAAGGATGTCAACGCCGCCATCGCAACCATGAAAAGCAGGCGCACCATCCAGTTTGTGGACTGGTGTCCCACTGGTTTCAAAGTTGGCATCAACTACCAGCCTCCCACCGTGGTTCCTGGGGGAGACCTGGCCAAGGTTCAGAGGGCCGTGTGCATGCTGAGCAACACCACAGCCATCGCTGACGCCTGGGCGCGTCTCGACCACAAGTTTGACCTGATGTACGCCAAGAGGGCCTTTGTCCATTGGTATGTGGGCGAGGGCATGGAGGAGGGGGAGTTCTCTGAGGCCAGAGAGGACATGGCTGCTCTGGAGAAAGATTATGAGGAGGTGGGGCACGACGGTATAGATGAAGATGAGGAGGGCGAAGAGTTCTAAACTGAATTGTGGAGCAAAAGTCAGAATGTGTTTGCTTCATGTTTATTTCTGTTTTTTAAAGTGTTTCTATTAAAGGTTATTGCAGTTTAAGTTGTTGTTTTTTTTTTAACTAAAAAGTATTTTGGATTGAGGTGTTCTGATTTACCTGTGCCGTAAATTATTACATTCATTCTGGTTCTTTATATATGGATCTTTGCTGGAGTTGGATAGCTGGGTTTTCAGAAAATGATCCAATTCTTTTGTAGTTTTTTAAATACTTCGATTGAAGAAAATAAAAACTTGCAGAGATGTCTGCTTTGTGTTGATATCAACTTGTTTCTCTCTTGTTTTCTTTCCTGACTGGTGTATTGCTCTTAAAGGCTAATTCTATTGCTCTAAATCCCTCCTTTTCCCAGCTAATTTTTTTATTTTCACAGACGTGAGAGCAAGACCTAATAAGTAGGAGCCTTGAGCCTGAGCTGCAATATAATGGTTTAAATCAAACCATAGACTAGTCTAGTTAAAGTCCACATTAATTAAAGATGGGATGAAATGTTAGTTAAGAGAAATTTAGATTCATTTTTTTCAGAGAAAGGATTGGTCGGTTGTTATTAACAAATGAGGAAACATAAGTTGTTTAGCCAAATCCGAAAACCCGTCATATCCTTCCTTTTTACTCCAAGCAAAATATGCTTAAACTTGTTCTAAAAGTCACAAGCTGCTGGATTCAGCAGATAGATTATTATGCCTTCTTGTTCTGCCTGTGATTCATCCATCAATATGCAGGTGATTTGTTCAAAGACTAATAACAATAACATGATTTCTAATGTTTAACTCTTAAATTATTATATTATAGTTAAACCAGATAATGTTGCGATGTCAGGTAGGTTTGCACATGT